GCTATCTCCTCTGAGGCATTACTTTTCAAACCGTCCATGTAGATGCAGTTTAATGTCTTTTGTTCTACTGCCTATGGCATAAACACCCCATAGAGGAGTTAGATGTAGTTTCCTGTCTTTTGTTCTACTGCTTACACTATGAAGCATCCAAGAGAGGAGTTAAATGCAGTTTTCTGTCTGTTGATCTACTGCTTACACTATGAAGCATCCCAGAGAGGAGTTAGATGCAGTTTTCTGTCTGTTGATCTACTGCTTACACTATGAAGCATCCCAGAGAGGAGTTAGATGTAGTTTCCTGTCATTTGTTCTATTGCTTACACTATGAAGCATCCCAGACAGGAGTTAGATGTAGCTTCTCATCTTTTGTTCTACTGTTTACACTATGAAGCAACCCAGACAGGAGATAGAAGTAGCTTCCTGCCTTTTGTTCTACTGCTTACACTATGAAGCATCCCAGAGAGGAGTTAGATGTAGTTTCCTGTCTATTTTTCTACTGCTTACACTATGAAGTGTTGCAGAAAGGAGTTAGATGTAGTTTCCTGTCTTTTGTTCTACTGCTTACACTATGAAGTGTTGCAGAAAGAAGTTAGATGTAGTTTCTTGTATTTTGCTAATTGTGTAGCTTGTTTTGATGTCATATTGCATTTCTGCAGTGTGTTTATTACACCACACATCTCTTTCTTAGTAAAAAACTTGCCCTGTAGCCTGCTGTTCTCGGGTAATACACTCTAGCTGCTGATTATTATGTTTCATTCGGACCAGGTGACCAAACTATTTGATTCTTTGATGTTCAATTAAATCATTTGCCGGTAGTGTGCCTGCTGTTGTTTTAAGTTCCTCCCTCTCTCTCTCCTCTGTGTGTGTGTGTGTGTGTGTGTGGTGTGTGGGTGTGTGCATGTGTGTGTGCGCGCACACACATGCTTGTTGATATTTTGACACCTCAAACAATGGGGCTATTTGATTTGTTTATTGTTGGCTTTCTGTATTCTGTTTTCTATTTCTCTGCCCACACCTCCATCATGTGTTTCAATTCAAAATGCAGTCAATATGTAGCATTAATTCTAATTTCTTTTTAAAATTCCTGAAACAGATGGATCGATTGATGAAAGACCGGATGGATAAATAGTAAACCAGAGAAAAAAAATTAATATTCTGGTAAAGGCTATCAAAATATCTCTTCGGCAGTGTTCTAGGAAAAAGCTGTTGTCAAATATGACATAAAATCAAATTTGAACTAGTAGAAACAGACAATGTAATTGTTAGTTAAAAATTTTTTTTTAAACCTTCCCACATGCATACTCCAAGCTGGAACCAACATCCAATGATAAAACTACAGAGCAAACTTGACTAATTCATGTTTATCCTAAGTTAACAATCCTCCCATTCTCTAATATTGAAAAAAAAAAAAAAAAAAGATTAAATTCATGTTATTTTTCAATCTCTAATCATATAAATATAACAAATTCTTCCTAATTTGTAAGGATAGTCAACCTAGTTATGTAATCTACTTCTTCTTCTCACCTCTCAGCAGCTGTAACTATGGTAGAATGTTCTGTTTGTTCAACAACTTCTGCACTTTGGTTTTATTCCAGAACCTGAGTTTTACATGCACAACTTTTTTTACAGATCTGGCTTATTTGTGTGCAGACTGTTATTTCCTTGCCTGCCTCTCAGGCAGATGCACTCTGACTTTGAAGGAAACAGCCTTAATTAATTGGCTTATACAAGGAAGGGCAGCCGACCTATTCTATCCCCCCCCCCCCCCCCGAATGTTGGCCTGAACTCGGAAGGGGTTGCAATCTAGTGAATTATAATTTTGATATTCTCAAAAATGTTTAGATCATGTATCTTCTCTGTAGCAACATAAGGATATGAGTCATAGACTCTCACAGTTATTAAGGAAGAAAACAGGCACTTTTGAGCTGAAACGCTACAAAAGGATTCGCAGAATACCACAGACCAAGAAGAAAACAAATAATGACATCGGAAAAGATCTGAACATCAAAGAAAATTGGCTAATAAACAGCATCTTGTCTCAGAAACAAAATTATTTTGGCTATATCAAGCAACACAGTGGATTGGAAAGAATAGTAGCAGAAAGACAGTACCAGGAAAAAAAGACACGTGTCAACCAGTAGGAAGATGGGCACAGGATATAAGTGAAACCTTCGGTTGGAAAGTGCATGAGGCAGGAAAGCTGGTGAAAGACAGATATTCTTTCAGGCAGACGGTGAGGACAGCAACATTCTGCAAAGGACCTGCTATTTGATGATAATGATGATGATAAAGTAAAAAAAAGTAAGTAAATACCCTTTCCACGCTATAAGGCATATAGGGCTAGACCTATATTTTTATAGACTAATCGGCACAAGATGGGTGATGTGGTCAGCATCATGCCGGCCGCCTTTACTTCCCGGGACTGCACCCAGTACCCACTCAAGGCTGGGTTGACCTGGGAGCCAAGGTCATTTTTGAAAAAGTCCGGCTCCGCCAAGGAGCGAACTCGCGACCTTCCAATCCGCGGCAAGCGTGATGATGATGATAATGATCTCAATCTCTACTGATATATAATAAAAGATAATTGTGATGTGAGAGCTGTAATAGTATCGTAAACAAAACCATTTCTGAAGCCCCTTAATGTTTTTTTATAGTAATTTTAAACAGATGCAAGTTAAATTATTAGGTGGTTCATGGTGGCCAACAAAAAAATATATTACATACTGTCTTAAAATGTTGACAAATATTGTTTGTCTCACCTGATCGGTTTCCTTTTGAAGCAGAGAAATTTCAAAGTTGCAAGATGTTAGATATCAGTGCAGACAGTTATGATTTAACTACATTTTTAACAAACATGGTTACGAAAACTCATATCAAAGCCAGTGGTTAAATAAATAACAGGAAAATGGGAGACACTCCATGCAGGAACTGACTATAAACATAAACACACATTCATAAAACACTGAACTTTTGGCCCTGAGATGTTTTTTAAATGTTTTTTTCAAACTTACTGGAATGTAAACCTTTTAATTTTACACTCCGTTCATGTTTACTGATTACTCTTGTTCACATATTAAAATTTTTAAAATCTATCTACATAAACAAGTATTAAACAAATTTTTATTTATCAATCTGATTATGTATAATTTGTATGTTTAATAAAAAAAATATTTATCAAGTTTTTTAGTGAACTATGTAAAATGTTTTTTTTTTTTTTTTAGGGAGTGACTTTTCCTTCCTTCAAGATTTCTGGGGCGAAAAGTTTACGAATAACGAATATTCAGGATAACAGGAAATGTTTTGGGAAATAAAGATGACTGGCACGACGCTCACCGCATCCCTCTCTGAATGTCAGTCTATCTAAATATAGGGTTAGCAACTTATGCCCAGTGTACGACACAGAGAAAGATCATTTACTAATTTTTACTGCTGAGCCATCGTAGACTTTTGCTCCCATGACAGATAAACAGGCACTTTTTGTTTCTGAGACAAGATGCTGTTTATTAGCCAATTTTCTGTTTATCTGTTAATATTTCATATTATTACTTTATTCTATTTCTTATCAGTATCATTTATGTATCATTAACATTTGTATTTTTTTATTCCCAGTATTATATTATATATTAACAATACTACTGTTTATTATTTTTTTTGTGTGACTATATTTTTTAGCTGTCATTTATTTTATTTCATTAATTCCACATCACATTTTTTTAAAAACGTTGCTCACGTCACCCCTTAGAGATCTACATACTATGCTCTACTCATTGTTACGTTTGTGTAGTTCACTTATGTTTGAAAAAGGCTACCCGGCCGAAACGTTACGTTGTGTTGTTTTGTGCACGTTTTTCTGCTTCCCCATTTTGTTGAGCTTTTTATTCAAATTTCTCTGGAATAGCTCTCATGACAGCATGTTAGAAAGCCACACTTAAACTACCTGTCAACTTTCCCAGCTAATATGACTTATACTCCTGCTCAATATTTGTATGGTACTTCTAGTAATCTGTGTGTTGACAGGCGGGACAGGTGTTTAGTTATAAATCAGTGTGAATAACTGAGCTTAAAACTACTATTATCAATTATGTGCTCATGTTCGCTCGCTAAAAAAAACAGCCTGACTGACTGGTTTTCCTCTAGATACTGAAGGCTTGATAATCAGAGACCCTTTTGTTAATCCAACAGGATCAAATCCCAACCTATACCCCCTTCAATCTTATCATTAACAATTTCTTCATCATCATCATCAAGTGACTTGTCGAGTGGTGTTGGTGATCATGTCTCTCTGCAATCCATAATCTTCAAAAGCATGAATCAGTTCATGTGCTGCACACCCTTCCATGCCATGACAAAAGGATGTCAAGAATCTTCTCATGATCTTTCCAGTGGTCACAACATGTTTCAGTTTCCTCCTCCTCATAATACGACCCCCAAAAAAATGATGACTTGTCTCTTTCTGATGTTTGTAAAAAGTTGTCATCGAGCTCCCAGCTCTTTATTCATAATGATGATGAGCCTATGCACATTCCCAGCACTATCTTGATGTATGTACCCTGGTGATTAAGGTAGATGGGTTTTATATATACATATATATATATATAGGTGTGTGTATATGAGCTGAATGACTGAATCTTTCTCCTTCTGGGTTATTACACAAAGGTTTGACCACCACAGAGCCCCTCAGAAACGCACCCTGGGTGACAATTTAACAAAGCAAATCTCATATACCCTGTTCAACCCCTTTAGATATTATAATTAGGATACTTGCAACAGCTACAACAGGCACAAACATGGTGTATCTTGCTAAGATGGGTAAGGATTAAATCAATTTTAGCTTGTAAAAAAGCATTATCTCAAAAGTTATTATCTGACTGTGAGCACTAAGGGTAAACAAACAACTAGAATTCTATGAATAAATAGGAAATAAAACACTAACTAAAAATGTTCTGCATGTCAGCAAGTTCCTGCGGGAGAAAGTTCTCATCAAACTCCGAATCAGCAGCAACGAACAGGCCTGGGAGAGCCTTGGTATCTAATCTTTGGCAGGTCTCCTCGCTGTGGGCCTCGGTCATCTATCAAGGACTCTGACGCTAAAAGAAAGGGGTGACAACAATAAAGTACAACATAAACACGCTAAATGGATAAATGAGATAAAGCTGGAGTTGAACAACATCAATTAGGGGGGAAAGCCAACGATGGGTAGGAAACATTTGATGTGCCACGTGGCCAGGTAACAAAAGATCCAAAAAATACAGCTAAACAGAAGGGAAGCACGTATCATTATATTTTGGCTAAATAACATAAATAGCAGGAGTGAAAAGTACAAGATATATATTTCTTAAAAAAAAGAAAAAAATTACAGGAATATGTGTCAACCTTAGGATTATTTCTTTGTCTTCCAATGTCATATGGCATTAGTTCCTAATTAGCTAAGACAGAAGGATCCCACCTACTATAAAATGTCTGCCACACACTCCACACTTTATAACGGTCACATTAGAGAAAGTAATTGTACATTAAATGGCCCTTTCCCACACCTTCAGGCTATTCAGCAAACAGTGCTAGACCTGTATTTTATAGGCCAATAGGCTTTCTGTGGGTGATGCGGTCAACATCACAACAGCTGCCTTTACTTCCCTGGACTGTACCTAGTACCCATCTAAAGCTGGGTCAACCTAGAAGGCAAGGTCATTTTTTAAAAAAAAAGCCCGGTTCCATTTAGGTCTGAATCTACGATCTTCAGATCCACCTAGCTGTCACACCACGGTGGACCTCCAATTTTTTTTTATTAAAGCTGGAGAAAAAGGATTGCATTCTGAAGTTGGTGTTTTTTCCTCAAATATCATAGACCCCTTAAATTTTATTTCACAGGACCCCCCCCCCCCCCCCCTTTTTCCTTCCCAAGGTTGTCACAGACCACCGATGGCATTCAACATTTTATACGTTTAATGCCTCTTGTTTAAGCACTACCAATAATTTTTCTATCTACACATATTTACAATCTGCATATATACTGACTGTTTGTTTTCAAAACAAATATTTATGTTTGTCATTTTTCTTCTATTTATTTTTTTCTCATCCTCCAATTACCTCATGGAAGTGTTAGCGTGATGTAAGGATCTTGTCTGTGTTCTACTCTTTCTTGTGTGTTGTATAAACTGATATTTCTTTTTTTACAGCTATTTTTTTTAAATTAACTGTTACATCTTTTGCATTTTTTTTTCATAGGTCTGTGCTGATCTTTTCCCCTCCAACTTTTTTATCATCACAATGGACTCCAGTTTTCACCTTCTCATGACATGAGCAGAGAATGTAGGTTGTTTTCATCTGATGTGGGCAATCAGTTCTATTTTTGAGTCAGCTTATTACATGGCATAGGCAAATTAATGTTTCATTTTAACCTAATTCATCAAGTGAATATGTTCCTATTGTAAGAATACAACAAAGGAAACACTGCTCTACTTACACCTATTACAACAGCAAAGTAAAAAGTTTTAAAAAAAAAGATTTACTTAAACCAAGATAAATAAAATAGTTTTTCTTCAATATAATGAAGTAATGGGGCAGTTACATTTACAAATCAAAAATGAGACAATGGAAAAGTTGAAACACAAAAAGGAGGTTAAAGTAATGTTTTCTGCTGCAGAAAGAGAATGTCTTCCCTTCCCTTTCATGTCTCATCGTGTAGCAGGGCCTCTCCTATGTTTGGGGGGGTGTTATGATATGGCATGGTTCAGCATTCGCCCGGCGTAAAAAAATGTATGCAGTAGGTTATGTTGTCATGAGTCTCTTTAAGGCGCCGCAGGTACCTGTGTACAAGTAAGAAGTACTGCAGGAGGAAGCGCCGCAGGTGTGGTGATTCATTGAGCATCAAAACTGGGATGTTTTTCTATTATTACGTTCGTTGGCGGTGGCTTCCCCCCGAGATAGAGAAGGCACTGACAAGGAACGTAGGAACAGAAAAACATTGCAGTTTCCATACTCCCGAATTGTCGCGCATGTAGGAAAACGTGAAAATAATCATGCTAGAAGATAAGAAACCAGAGAGTGGTTAAAGCGCTGACAATAAGAAATACACAGCACCCCGCAACATAGAAGAGGCCCTGCGAAGTGATGAAGCATGAATTGGAAGGGAAGTCACTCTATCTTGTTGGCGGAAAACGTTACTTGCACTAAAAAGCCAAAGCATTAGGGGAAAATTTAAAAATACAGAATTAAACCAATTTATCACAGTTCTGTCATTTTCTTCCTTCTTCTAACTCCAGTTACCTCAACAAAGTGTTAGCAGGTGATGTAAGGATCTTTTGCATGAACTTTACATGTGTTGTATAGGCTGACCACTTTTTCTTTATGGTTTCTGATGTCATCGTTCTCTTTTGCATGGACCTCCTTGCTATGTATTCTGATTTCTTCTTTTTTAAAAAATCTCTTCTTGTTATATAGGCAGCTCTTCCAAGAGATCTCTTCTTAGTGTTGACCACCTGTAAACTCTGATAGAAAGTTCTGGTTGTTCGTCCACTTCCCGACTTTAGCCTTGTTCCAGAACTTGCATTTTGCGTGCATATCCTTTTTTACAGATCTGGTGTATTCTTAGACAGACTGTTGGTTAATTGCCCCCATTAGGCAGATGCACTCCAACTTTAAAGGAAACACCCCTAATCAGTAAATTTGTATGCTTGTTTTTTTGGGTGATCATGTCTCTCTACAGTCTATGATCTTCAACATCATGAATCAGTTTATGTGCTGACACCCTTCCACGTCATGACAAAAGGCTCTCAAGAATCCTCTCATGTCTTCCTCATCTCTCTTTCCACAGATCTTTGCAGTGGTCACAACATGTTTCAGTTCTCACTTTTCATTTAACTCCCAGAATATAATCACATAGTTAAATCAATTGAAATGAGTTTTTTTTTTCTTCCTTGTTTATTGTTGACCTATAAAAAAGCTTGAAATTAATCCCCACCCCCTTCTTTTTCCCCCACTTTTTGCGAATATTGGATCTTTGCGCAAAATTCTCTATCATTAGATCTGAATTAACTGCTGTGTTACCATCATACCATGACTCACAGTATCAAGAAAACAAATCATATCATCACTTAATGCCAGCACCAGAATTTATGGGGCATACTTAATAACCATGTCCAAAACCTGCCAAACCCACCCCAAAATCTGTTACAGCTTGAAAATTAGCTCATTATTGACAAGCAATAATCTGAAATTTAATCCACTCAATGAGACATTGCAGTGGAGCTGCGATTAATAACAAGAGGGAACATTCGTTATTTAGCAGTGTGACTTTTAATTCAAGTCCCCTACCACTGGGAGTATTGCCTTTCTTATGTTTAGAAAGCAAATTTCTTCAAAACTCAAATCACTACCAAGACACTAATAAATGCAGAGTGTCAGAAAAATTATTTTGCAATTAGACAAAAATTATGTGAATTATTACAGAAAATATAAAATGTCAACCTTCTTTTACAATGTATATATAAATAACTGAATTTCAAGATTTAAAAATAACAACCTGTACAATAACATGTACTGTGAAAGCCAACTTACGGATACATTTCTTTCCATTAGCCATATAACCAGGGTTGCAAGTGCAGCTGTATGATCCCACAGAGTTGACACAGATCTGATCACATTCTCCATTAGCATTAAGGCACTCATCAATATCTGAGGGCAACAAAATTAGGTGATAGTGTATATGCTTTCCAGGACTTCACAAGTGGTTTTGCTGGGCAAGTTTATATTCAGCAGTGAAATACAGGTCAAAGCAGCCTTTCAAACCTACTGGAACACTTCTCGGCTCTTTCCCAACAATTCACCACAGATGACATCATGGGACAGTCCAATAATTTGGAGGGTGGTAAGAGCGGAGGTTCCCTTGTGTGTCTTCCAAGGTGTTGCCAAGGTTTTGGCATGTTTCTTCTTCTGGCTGCATCCTTCCAGTGACTTGTGTTTGTGACGTCTCTCCGGCGACTTGTGTGTTCAGTCTTTATCGCCATGAATTTCCTGGAATTAGCAGCATCGGTGTCTGACAAGGAAAGCAGTGTTGCTTTCCTGCAACATCATGGCATTTTGCATAGCACCAGACAATGTGGCAATAATCATGCTATGGTGTTACTACAAAAATAATTTGTAATCTCTGCTGCTGCCTCAACAGCAGGCCTCAACAGCAGGTGTCGCATTCTGACCTCTCTCCAGATCTTTTATTGTTCTGACTGTCAAGTCGTGCGTGAACCCAGGAGTATACATCTAGAATGATTGGCCCTTTTCACACAAACAAATCCCAAAACAGCATCCTCCTCCTCAGAAGAAAAAAAAGGTCAGCTGTTGCAGATATTGAATGTCTTATATTCCACGATATGAGCACTTTTAACGACCCCAAAACATCTACACAACTGGCCTTAACCCCAACCCACCTATGCCCCATGAGAGAGTGCAGCCTAGGTCCCACAACTGCATGCAACCTAGGTCCCACGACTGTAGACAGCCTAGGTCCCACGACTGTAGACAGCCTAGGTCCCATGATTGTAGACAGTCTAGGTCCCATCACTGTATACAGCCTGTCATACGACTGTATGCAGCCTAGGTCCCACCACTGTATGCAGCCTAGGTCCCACCACTGTATGCAGCCTAGATCCCAGCACTGTATGCAGCCTAGGTCCCACAACTGTATGCAGCCTAGGTCCCACCGCTGTATGCAGCCTAGGTCCCACGACTGTATGCAGCCTAGGTCCCACAACTGTATGCAGCCTAGGTCCCACCACTGTATGCAGCCTAGGTCCCACCACTGTATGCAGCCTAGGTCCCAGCACTGTATGCAGCCTAGGTCCCAGCACTGTATGCAGCCTAGGTCCCACAACTGTTTGCAGCCTAAGTCCAACCACTGTATGCAGCCTAGATCCCATCACTGTATGCAGCCTAGGTCCCACCACTGTATGCAGCCTAGATCCCACCACTGTATGCAGCCTAGGTCCCACCACTGTATGCAGCCTAGGTCCCACCACTGTATGCAGCCTAGGTCCCACAACTGTATGCAGCCTAGGTCCCATCACTGTAGGCAGCCTAGGTCCCATCACTGTATGCAGCCTAGGTCCCATCACTGTATGTAGCCTAGGTCCCATCACTGTATGCAGCCTAGGTCCCACCACTGTATGCAGCCTAGGTCCCATCACTGTATGCAGCCTAGATCCCATCACTGTATGCAGCCTAGGTCCCACCACTGTATGCAGCCTAGGTCCCACTACTGTATGCAGCCTAGGTCCCACCACTGTATGCATCCTAGGTCCCACCACTGTATGCAGCCTAGGTCCCACCACTGTAGGCAGCCTAGGTCCCACAACTGTAGGCAGCCTAGGTCCCACCACTGTATGCAGCCTAGGTCCCACCACTGTATGCATCCTAGGTCCCACTACTGTATGCAGCCTAGGTCCCACCACTGTATGCAGCCTAGGTCCCACCACTGTATGCAGCCTAGGTCTCACCACTGTATGCAGCCTAGGTCTCACCACTGTATGCAGCCTAGGTCCTTCTCCCCAGCAAAAAAAAAAAGCAAATGAAAAGCTAAGTTACTACACTATACAACACCCTGTGAAATATTAAGACTGTCCCGTGACCTGTGGATTTCCCGTATTTGTGGTGAATTATTTGCAATGTACCCACTTCTCATCCAGGACACAGTCCTGAAGACCCAATCAACCTTTTCACATCAAAGAAACAGACAATTATATTTAGACTGTGTACTGGACAAAACAGACTCTGCAGCCGTAAGTACAAGAAATTCAGGACTGAGGATTCAGAATTTTGCCTGTGTGGGCAATCATCCCTGTACCGAACATGTGCTACAGACATGCTCTCTACATGCAGTAGAGATTCCAGGTCTTTTTGGTTGGCATTCCAATGGAAACCAAGCTGTATGGACAAGTGGAAGCGGTACCAAAGGCTTCATAGAGGTCTGTGGTTTTGTCATCTTAAAACCACTGGCATGAAAAACAAAAAGAAGACATTTATTAGTTTCTCAACTGGTTTGGAGAGAACAGCAGTGAAGACTATGTTTCTTAGATGACAGGGAAGGGGCCGACCAGCATGATGAAAGACACTAGATACTAAGGACACTATGGGCAAGAAAGTCTGAGGCGGGGGTTTTGGCAGGGTAGCGCAATGAACAGAGTTGTTGTCCATCACAGGCGACGATAACAAGTCCCTTTATCCACTGGTACATACTAGAAACTAACAAAAAAGCCATGAGAAAACAAGGTGTGATGAAGAAATTGGCAAGCACCACTTGAGGAGCAGACAGTTGTATCTTGAAGCAGGTATACACCGGCACAGTCAGACCAACTCTCGAATACGCATCATCGTCATGGATAACAGCAGCCCATTCCAATAAACAGATACTAGACAAAATGCAAAATAGAAGCCTGCTTACAATTCTGGGAGCCATAAAATCTACACCTATTGTAGAAATGGAAAAGGCAGCCAACATCATCCCCTTAGAAGAAAGAAGAAGGACAAAAGCAATTCTACATGCTGAAAAAATGAAGAGAATGCTAAACCACCCATTACACGAAAAATTGGCAGCCAGGACAAAAAACAGAATAAAGCGCACAAGCCTAAACCATCTAACGAAGAAATTTGGAAAGTCATTCTCTTCACTACTTAACCAACAATGTACACCTGAAGAGCTATCTTTCGATCTCTGGGACTCCGAATTATTGACACTCAATGTGTCAACATCCATCCCGAACCTGGAAAACAAAGATGCTGAGCCCGCTTTAGTGAAGAAAGCACTCACAATGGAACACCTCAACAACATGTTCCCACAAGACAGCTGGACAAGAATCTACACGGATGGATCAGCAAAAGAGGCAACTACGAATGGTGGGGCAGGTGTTTACATAAAACACCCAGATGCCACTACTGTGTCCCTAGCAGCCCCCACCGGACGAACTTGCTCTAACTACAAGGCAGAACTCTCAGCTCTATTGATGGCAGCACAGTATATGAACAATCTGCAAATCACCGCAGGCAGGATAGTTTTTGTCACTGACTCACTGTCAGCTGTACAGGCCCTTGAGTCCAAACCTACCGACAGCACACTACAAAGTCTAACACAGGAACTTGCTGTGTTGTCAAATAAGGCAGAAATTCACTTGCAGTGGATTCCGTCTCACTGCGGCATCAAAGGCAATGAAAGCGCAGATGCTTTAGCCAAGGAAGGCAGTAACAAACTACAGACCTACCAGCCACTATCTTTTCCAGAAGTCAAAACTCTCATTAAGAGAAAATCAGAAACAGATTGGAAAAACAACACTGGTTATGACTACGGAAAAGATTTTCTGAGGCACTTGAACAGAACAGACCAAGTCACAGTTTTTCGCTTACGCACTGGACACTGCAGACTCAATAAACACTCATATAAATTAGGTATGAGCCAGTGTCTTCGTGCTGAACAGACTCCAGAACATGTCCTGCAAGACTGTCCTCTCCTGGCGGAGCTGCGGAGCGACATATGGCAACACCCAGTAGAACTGACAACTAAGCTTTGGGGAAACCTAAGAGACCTTGAAAAGACATCCCAGTTTATGACCCACAGTGGATTATGCGCATGACCAGAGATCGCTGAAGAAGAAGAAGATCCACTGGTGACATGAAGAGAGTGATATTCATCAAAGGACCCACTATATAATGATGATGATATGTTTGCCATTGCTTTCTAAATGCTACAACATTTGCACCTCTGTCGACCTCAATGCAGAATTTTAACTACAAAATCATATGCAGTTAACTTTAAACCTTTCTATATTGGAACTGTGTTTACCATCCCTAAGCCACAAATACTTTGCTAATGAAAAAAAAAACAACCTCAAATTAGCTAGTATTCTCCATCTGGTCAAATTATTCTATACACTTTGTTGGTCAAAGTGTTAAACATTATCAAATGTCACCTTCACATTTAAGAATGGCTACAGGGAACAAGGTAGCAAGGAGTTAGGTAGCTTAGAGAGTTATAATTAGCTAAGAACTGTGGATGCTATGCTTTTTTATAATCATACTGAAGAACTAATTATCTTCTTTTTTTGTTTACCTTTGGAAGAACAGCCGGCCCCCTGTGTTATGGTTTATAATTAGGCTGTTATATCTGCACCTTTTGGCCCAGCACATCTGACTTCAGCAAATCCTTGAAATGTTGCGTACTAAAAAACAATAGTTGTGTATCCTTTACAGGACGTTGCAGAACCAACCCCAGCATTTTTTTCGGCTGTGGGTTTTGTTGGCAAATTTTACAGTTTTTTAAACGGTCAGCTGTTGTTACGACTGTGAAAACCAACGAAAGACAAATCATCCGCAGCTGGTATCGAACCCGCCATCCCGGCATTACCAAACGCATTCACAACACCTAAGCCACAAATACCGACATTGCCTATTAGGACATGCTTCTTAAGGAGAAGCTGGTCTTTTCTTTCTTTTCTCTCTCCAAAAACGAGACCCTAGAACCCACAAGCGGAGCTATTCAAAGTAAGACCTCTGATCAAAGTTAGAAAAACATATAACTGTTCTCACTCACCATCACAGGTACATCCATCCATGTTGAGGATAAACCCAGGCTGACAGCCACAGGTGTACCCACCAGGGTTATTGTTGCACAGATCCGTACAGCATTTCTCGGAGCCCCTACACTCATCAACATCTGCAAGGAAAGCAGGCACCAAACAACGTATTCAGTATCTTTTGTTGAAAAGATTATAACACAGTTCAGATAATGTATTATCTGTTTATGCTTCTATGTAAATTTGAAACTTGTTCGTGCATTGATGTGACTCTCAGTATGTTTGCTCTTTCATGTGATTGCTTATTTATTTGTGCTTTCATGGGATTTCTTGTTTGTGCTTTTATGAGATTTGCTGTCTGTTTATGCCTTTATGAGTCCTGACCTATGGGTGTGAGTCATGGGGAATGACAACAGCTCACAGAAGCCAGCTTCAGGCCTCAGAAATGAGATATCTGAGAAAGGTGGTCCAAGTGACAAGTAGGGACAAGTAGGAACAAAGTCGGCAATCAGACTATACGTCAAGATCTTGATACCCAGTCCTTACAAACCCCGAGTGGATCAGCCACAGTTACTATGGTTTGGACATGTATGCAGAATGGGAGAAAATCGGCCACCACGGCAGGCATTAGATGCTAAGAAACAGGGAACCAGACCTCCAGGGTGACCTAGGGTGCGCTGGGAAGACAACATCAGACAGTCCCTAGCTGACAAAGTACAGGAATGAAACAGAGCCAGTAAGAAAACTGCTGACAGAGACGTCAGGCGATCTCTCTTGTAAACCTCTAAATCCCAAGGTAGAAGAGAAGCGACTAAGTAAAGTAAAGTAAAGTTATGCCTTTATGAAATGCATTACCTGTTTGTGCTTTAACATGACTGGTTATCTTTTGTGCTTTAAAAAACAAAAATGTCTATATCTTTGTATAATGTAAGTTGTAATACTTACACTACTACACAACCCCATAAAATATTATACTAAAAATACCAACTATACTAAACAATAATATCGTTAGTCGAGGTTCGAACATCACTGCAGATGGGTCACCTAATAACTGCTCCATTCCTGTGCCAGTAAAAATCACACAAAAATATCCTTCACTGATCAATTTCAAAACTAGTGAAAAATATTTCAGTCCCAGCAAAATCTTGAAGCTTGCACAAGTAAAGTAAAAATGCATAAGGCAGTTTCAAATACATCAACAATATCGGTGCCACACCAGAATTGCAGTGGGAAGAAAATAATATCCTATACTATGCTATAAAACTACAGAATAATACTACACCCTAAAATACAGAACATCATATTACAACATACTACTATGCATGACACAGCACCAGAGAATACCAACTGTAACAGTGTACAATACAATTCATTATAGACTATACTGGTAACAAAGTGACTAGGTACTCTCCTGTCCACCCAAAAAATGTATTTTACCTGTATTTACTTTAATTTTAGACTACTACTTCTTTTTCTGCCTTTCTAGCCCCCAATGGAGCATAGGCCCCCAACCAACTCATGCTAAGTCTTTCTATCCTTTGCCATCACAGGCAGCTCTCCCTATGCCCCCCCCCCCCATCTTTTTTTAACTTCAATCTCTAGATCCCTTCTCCATGTGTTTTTTTTTTTTTTGGGGGGAGGGGGAGGGGGGGGGGGGGGGTCTTCATTTATTTATATGCCCCTTTGAGTTCCAATGCAGTTTTATTGTTCTTATGTTTCCTCAGCATGTGTCCTATCCAACGCCAGTGTCTTTTCTTCACCTCATGATACACTGAAATTATAAAATAAGCACTACCACAAAGGAAAAAGACACCCAACCTTCACAGGACTTGCCATCCGCCTGCAGCTTGTAGCCTTTTCTACAGGAGCAGATGGGACCCTCATCGCTGTGCTTGCATTTGTGGGAGCAGCCTCCGTTACCAATGGCACAGAAGTTGACCACTTCCATCTCAATGCCTTCAGTTGTCATTGCACATGTGGGAGAAGAAACAGAAAAATAATCCATGACATTTCAATACTAACGAAGCTTTATACACTGGTACTGTATATGCAGTGGCTAGTTTTAAGCAACAGTATGCTAAATATGGCTAACCTTATCATTACCATCATCATTTGCCACATGGTAAGCACAGGCTCTTACGTTTTGCCATCTCACACGATCACCAGAATCATAGATCAGGTCAATGTTTTTACTGCGCCCCATACATGTGGTCAAGCCATCCAGGTATTTTCTCTTTTCCTCACCTTGCTCTCTTTTGATCAATCTTGCCATAACATGTTCAAAAACACAGACTTTCTACGTCTAATTGTAAATAGGTTTACAGCACTCATGAGGACCGCTTCATTCGTATATCATTCCAGAATATTCTTTGCTCACTCCGTGATATTTGCTGCTTTCTTCTCAACAACCACATCTCTGCTGGAAATAAATATTTTTTAACTTTGCTTATTGTACCCGCCTCACATGCTTTATGCACTGGTTATAAAAAGTGGCTAGTTGTATTAAAAACCCCGATGATCTGCACTTCATGAACCAAAAGTGCAGTCTTGAAACGAATCCCTAAACCTTCAGAGCAAGAGTCAAAAGCTTGACAGCTTCCCCACGCAAGATTTGAAATTAAATTTCTCTTCTTCTGTCTTATCGCCCAAAGTATCATAGGTCCTCAACCAACCCACATCATGTTCTTTATTGGTTAGTTCTGCAAACAATCTTATGACGATTTGCTCTAATTAAAAACATGCTGTTTTGTTATACTGAAAAAGAAGACATTTTCCTCCACCGAACAACACGCAGTTTTGCTATATTTAAAGGCTTGCTGTTGTGCTACACTGAAAAACAAAACATTTTGCTCCACTGAAGAACATGCTGTTGCACTACGCTGAAAAACAAGCTGTTTTGCTATATTTAAAAAAGCATGCTGTTTTGCTACATTTAAAAACATGCTGGTTTTATACATTGAAAAACATTAGGGAATTTTGTTCTATTTCAAAGCAGTTTTCAGTTTTGGTGCAGAGAAAAGCATCAATAAGTTTTGCTGAGATCTGCTGTGGTGTCATGGTTAGACTCTTGTCTGCAAATCAGAAGTTTGTGTGTGGGTTCAAATCCAAACGGTGCCTGACTTTTTTCCAGGTCAAGCCAGCAATAGATCGGTACCAGGTAAAGTCCTGGGAAGTAAAGAGTCTGGGGTGATGCTGTCCACATCCTCCACTGAAGGCTGGTTGATCTAGAAAATACAGGCTTAGCTCCATATTCCTATTCAACAAAATTAAATTCCTCTGCGTCTTCTTCTTCTTTGTGTCTACAAGCTGTAACATATGACAGAAAGTCTTAGTGATTCATTTGCATCTGCATTAAGTCTTGTTCCAGGAACTGAGTGTTATGGACATACCAGGTTTACAAATCTGGCTTATCTGTGTGCAGACTGTTAGTTTCTCACCTCTCAGGCAGATGCACTCCTACTTCAAATGACATGACAATCCTATCTACCTTAGCCAAGCCCCCGGTAGGGAACCTGAGGAGAAGTGTAAATAGGTCTTAACTCTTTCAGTCCCAAGAAACACATCATACATTTATAGGTTCCTACCTAGAAGCCCAACGAACGCAAGATGTGCCAATATTATGTCTCTTTTGACTACCCCTTGGGCCTCTGATGCTAAATCCTTGGGACCCAAAGAGTTAAACAGTACAAGCCTTGGTCCTGGATACCTCCTTCTGCCTCTACATCTGACAGCCAATAATAATAATAACAACGAAAACACCCAGCTTCTTTCAGAAAATATGCATGCCTTATTATTGATTTACTTGAAGTTTTAGTAGTATGATAGAATATGTTGTTAAATTCCAAAGGCTGATAAAGAACAACTGTTCCAAAAAATAAATACTTGTACCGAAATGCAAAAAAAAAAAAAAAAAAACAGTGCACACAACTGAAAGTGTATTTTTTATAAACAAGCATGACACAGAAAGATGACAACAAGCAAGTGTTAGTGATGTTACCAGATTTGTTATTAGGTAATCGCAGTCTTTCCAAAGCTGATTCTGACAGGGGGCATGAAGGAGAGAAAATGTTGTCAGACATCAATAGGATTTGTTAGTTATTATGTAATCCATGCATGTATACACACAGAGAATCACAGAGAGAGAGAGAGAGAGAGAGAGAGAGAGAGAGAGAGAGAGAGAGAGAGAGAGAGAGAGAGAGAGAGAGACAGTTCAGAAACAGTAAAAATGAGGGAGAGGGGTGAGGAAAGATAGAGACAGAGAAGAAGTGAGGGAAAGAGATAGGAGTATGAGAATGAGAGAAGGTAAGATGGAAAGAGGAGACCAGAAGGAGGGAAGGAAAGTGGGGAGGTAAGGCAAGAGAAATGGGAAAAAGAGAGAGGGAGGGATTATTTTTTTTAAATAGCCTATGCGAAGAAACAATTTAGAAAAATAGTTATCCATGATTAGAAATGAACAAAGTTTTTTTCTAGTAATGGTCACATAGATCCCACTCAATTCTAAACAAATTCATCAACATCATATGCCTTGCTGGATGATGCAGAAGTTTAGTCTCTATACACAAATGAGTCCTTTTAGTTTTAGCTCTCATAAATGAATGATCCTTTTCCAAACCACCATTCTAAACCATCCAGCTTCTAGTCAATATTGTGGATAGACTGGCTTACTGTGTGTATTTAGTGTTGTAAGTTTTTCTTCTGACAATATTCAGTACTTGCATTTCCTCCACACATTCTAAGCTGAGTGCAAGGTGTGACACTATGAGCTGCGGATTTCATTTTTTAATGCATTTTGACTGTGCACAACATGACTTGTGTTGTGAACTTCACATTCAGAAAATGGCTAGTGGCCTCTTGCCAGAGAACTGGAGGTGCCTAATATGATTAATTGCATGTGCAACTACTAATCTGTTGTATCTGTTGCTCCTATCAATGATTAAATGCATTTCTAGTGCCAAACTGTTTATGATGGCTGCCTTATGCATTTAATGCATATGTATGTCATTGACTTTGCTGAACGGAGTCCATGTCAATATTTTTAACATGGGACAGTGATGGACATTCTGTGTCGTTTTCAGAAACAGGAACAGAGCAACAATGGGATGACTCATTTGGTGTTAAATTGAAACTGTGATTACCAGCATCAATTATCTCTGTTTGGCTCTTGCACAGCTGATCTGGAGCAGCTGGAAAAACTGTTTGGAATGATGGGCACTCATGTAGGAAACCAGATTATAATCCTCAGTAAGGTTAAGGATTATTTACATTTAGGGGCAAAAATAAAATTATAACCTGTACAGTCCGTTTGATGTCAGCCATGCTTAGACTTTAAGATCCCCCCCCCCCCTTTTTGCCCCCCAACCTACACTGCAAAAGGGGCAAATACAGCAGTAATCAGCAGTAGGCACTTAACTGCTTATCTTTACAGTCATCAAAATGTCATCCAATATCTCTCACCTTCTACTCATATGCTCAAAGAACACTGTCTGCTTCTATCTTAAAGATGCACAAAATGTTGTACTCTCATTAACTTGTTTCCTTGCAATCAGTGTTAGTATGGCAGTCCATGGTATTTCCACTATTCTTTTTTTAAGAACCACACATCTCTGTTGCCTTTACACTCTTTCTAATCTGTGCATTCTTCCTGGCATTCACTGGCTGTGACCTGTAGCTGAAAGAACTAGCTGTTTATCCACTCCTGGACTTTTATTCTTTCCAGAACCAGTTTTGTGTGCACATCCCTTTTATAGATCTGGCTTATATATATGCATACTGTTGGTTCCTTCGCCTCTCAGGCAGAGGTACTCTGACTTTGAAAGTGTGGACAAACAACCAGAACTTTCTTTCAGAGTTTACATCCGGTGAAAGCAAAGAAGAAGATAAGATTGTAGAGGACTGGTGAATACCTTAGCTTTATTGCCCAACCAGTCTTCAATAAAGAAAAGTCTAAATAAATAAATAAAAAAAAAAAAAACAGGCAGAAATATCAACCATTTGAGCATTTTGAAACTTTGTGTCAAGCCTGATATATCCATACACGTACTGTGTAACTCAAACAGTGATGGCAACAACATAAAAGCGAATAAAGCCAGTAATTACCTTCAGCCCGCTCTCTACTTGCATTAGTATTGGCTAGAATGAGAAGGGAGAATATTGCAGGACAGGCAAAACAAGAAGGCATTAGATTGTCAGGCAAACATTCACTAATGCAGTAATTACAAGCAATCAACAACAGACTGTCAAATCTGGGACAGCATGAGCAGTGAATAATAAAAAAGATTGCTATAGACTCAGTAAGTCAACTAAATATAATGCATTAATATAAAGTCAGAAGACTAAATAAATGCATCATTATATAGATTATATAGTCAGGAGACTAAACACAATGCATTATTAAAGTTAACAGACTAAACATAATGCAACATTCTTAAAAGTTAATAGACCAAACACAATGCATTATTAAAGTTAACAGACTAAACATAATGAGACATTCTTAAAAGTTAATAGACTAAACACAATGCATTATTAAAAAGTTAATAGATTTAAAAAACTCTTGGAACTGAAGGAGTTAGCTGCCCATCCTATGCAAGACGTCACAAGCCAACACCAGAATTTGTAATTTTACAATGAGTAGATTTCCACTGATCCCGAACGGTTTGACACTCATACCACTGTCACAATAAATGCATAGTAATCTGCTGCCAAACTGCTAGCAGCTGAATCAAACCATGAATTCCCGAATTATGAAACTGCTAATAACCCTTAAGTCACATACACCAACAAAGGGGGTTATCAAGCCTTTTCACTATCCATGGAAGCAATAGTTAAATTAAAATGTGAGAAGTCAAGAAACAAAATGCACACAAATCAAAAGAAGAAAACTTTATGACAAACAAACAAACAATAATTGACTGCAATGTGCTGTCCAGAAAAACATACAAACATTTCAAAGCGAACTTAATAAAAGCTTATAAAAAAAGGCAGAATGTATCTAAACACTGTAATACATGCAATATTTACAGGTTAAGTAACATAATTTAATAAGTTCAACAGTTTCTTCTATTTTAATTAATTATGACATTTTATTTCCTTTCACATTTTCTCGCCAAAAATAACATTTCTAAGGATCTGAGCTAAACCACACAAAGCTAGAGAACTAAAGCTTTACTAACTGCAAAACAAAAGAAACGTTTCCTCCTAAACATCAGGTTCTGGAGCTGCGCTGATGCAGTATATAGCACACTTGCAAATGGGTCTAGCAGTTTTAGGTAGAAATTCCTATTGAGGCAGATTTTAATATTTACTTGGGTTTTAGGAACTGTTGTAGGAAGTTCTTCTTATGCTTCTCTAGTTCTGTTCTGCTTTAGTATTAGGTTTTGAGAAGGCATGGGGTGCGAGCCTTGGTAGGTGCTAGGGAGATGCTGGTATTAACGGCCTTGGATATTTCATCTATGCATCGCTTACATCATAGCTTTTAAACTGGCGGCCCTCTGGTCAAACCCAGCTCACAGAGGCTAAGTAAGTGGCCTGCGGATCACTGTCAGTTGTATTCTATTAAAGATCTTTCTATGCCTGGGGACGGGTCTCTGGCCCGTGGCTAAACCCACTTTTAAAAAATACAGGCCTCTGAGTAAACGTAGTGGAATAGTCCTGGCTTATGTGGTCTGCCTCTAGTTCTTCTTCCATTATGTCTTAAGTGACAGGGCTCTCTGTGGTGCGGTGCACTATCTGGTGGCAGTCTTGGCAAATGTCCTAACCATCTGATCTGTTGTCTCTTGATGTAGTTTAGTACTTGTTCTGTCCCAACGTCTTTCCTGATATCATCATGACTGTTCATTTCTTTTCTAGTTACACTTTGGATTTGTCCCAGACATTTCACTTCTGTTGTTTCTTTATTTGTAAATTTTTAGAAAGTTATGATAGATAATGTGATTATGAATGGGAAACTGAACATGGCACCAATCAAATTCCAAACGGTTTATGAAAAATATGGGATAAACACCATATGTCAATAATAATCCCAGACATTGACCTGGGTCCATCTCTACTTACTTTACTTAACTATTTAGAGGAGCAGCTAGTTAAATAGTTAGGAACACTGGGATCTCTCTTGGGAGACCAAGGTTCAAATCCCCGGTAATGTGGATTTTCTTCTGTTGGGGCAACAATAAAATCCTACCCTGCAGTTTGTGGTGACTGCCCTAGCAATGAGGGCCTAAATCCTGAGACTCAAAGACATGCCTGCTTACATCGCAAAAGTGATCAATACAAGCAGTAATAATTGGTAAAGGAAGAAAATACTTTTTTGTTTTTAAACTAAAATGCTATAGAAAGATTTTGTGAATCCCAAGTACCATTAAAACAAGAAATACATATATCTTAAAAGATTTGAACATTGAAGAGTCTGTTAATAAACAGCATCTTGTCTTAGAAACTGAAATATATCAGCCATATAAACCGGATCAGAAAGATTAATAGCCAAAGGCATAGTACCAGGAAAGAGGGATAGGGACTAGGGTAGGAAAGTGTAGGAGGCGGGAGGGCTGGTAAGAGATAAAATTTCTTTCAGGCAGACCAGGCAATGTTCTGTAAAAGACTTGCTCATGATGATGATGAATGACAGGTGACTGAACCGTTTAAAGCCAATGCTGTAAAGTATCTTTTATAATAATGCTGTCAGTTACAAGAAGCAGAATACTAAATGCTATAGTTTGGCTATGAAATCAAGCTATACAACATAACTGCTAGTAGGCAATTATTATCACGTGTTACTCTATAAGATGAAGGTACATGGATATGTCAGTTGTTAAAAAAAAAAAACATTTAAACTTCTTCTTCTTTATTGTTTGTCACAGTGGTGTAATTACACTGTGCCTGATTACAGCATAGCTGTGATATTTGAACATTTTGGTCGACATCCGACTTTATGAGCATTTGATGTTTGGGTTAACTTTAAACTGGTTTATCAGACAAATTAAATGCTAACTCATTTAACTATTTAAAGCAAAATTAAGTGCTATATGAAACATTATTACACAGATTTTTCACTTTAAACACTGCTTGTGAAATGCATTGTATTTTTTTTGTATTTTTTATATTAATGCTGGATATTTTACTGCTTTTATTAATGAACTGTAAATTGTCTTATCAAACAATAATATATTTCTGATCATTATAAAAACTATTAATTCCTTAATTAGACCTTAATAGAGCAAGTCTTCCTCATACACAGATTACATTAGTGTCTACAGACATTACATTAACTCCTACAGACAGCAAATCAACCTCTACAGACATTACATTAACCCCTAAAGATATTATATTAATTCCTACAGACATTACATTACCGTCTAAAATTTTTTACGTTAACCTACACAATGTATCAACCCATAATAAACACTGAAAAAATTCCGACAGGCATTACTTTAATCTCCTACAGACATTACTTAAACAAACTTAGGCATTACTTTAACTTCTCTAAACATTACAAATACAATAGCTTCTACAGACATTATATTAACTTCTACACACCTCTTATTAACTTCTTCAGACACTTAACCCTTAAAAAGACCCTATTTGGCAGGTCATATACTACTCACGATAGCATGACTTTCCATCCACTCCCAGCTGGTGGCCAGGCGTACAAGCACACACATACGATCCCGCTGTGTTGATACATGCTTGTAGACACTCAGCATTGTTGACTGCACACTCATCAATATCTATACAACATCAAAAATATGGCTGCTGTGTCACAGCTAACAAAAGATATGCATCTATGGCTGGTCAAATGAGAGTCAAAGGCAAATAAAAATTCCCACTGTAACCAAATACACAAACACAGATGCTAAAGATAGGTGCTACTACAGGACACATGTTTTCCCCTCATATGTTCTGAAAAGAGACCTACTGACACCCTCGCCCCTAACATTGGTCATTTTCAGCGATCATCTTCATCACACATCAGACATGAGGATAAGTGCTTCGATCTCCTACCTGAGTCAGTCTCCACATGTTTTTAGGCTAACAACTCTCATTCTGTTCTGGCTGATGTAATGACGGGTGGCTCCCGCATGGTTTTTACTGTCTCTCGGCTCAAATTGGTACACACAGCGTATGCAGTCTATTCCACAAAACTGAAAGCCTCAGCATTAAATCTCTCATATGGCACTGATGACGTCTCTCCTGTCCACAGAGGGCCCATTCCTGATAGTGGCACTACCAGCCACAGTGTCCGCTCTCTCATTGCCTTTTATTCTCCCCTAACAAGTATGTCATAAAACATGACATTAAGGGTTTGTTATGTTATCACAATCAATGTCTTTGCAAATGTGCGCATTCCCATGGGTGCTCAGTCCTCTGATGCAGCTGCCACTCCAAGGTACCTCGACTGATTGTTCCAATGAAAAGCTGGTTATAGTATCTCCTACCTTTACCTTGAAGACAGCATAGATGTGCTTCACTAAGCTCCACACCTCAGTCATGCACTTGTGTTAGCGACAGAGAATCAACATATTCCCCAACCTAGTCTGTACAGAGTTGATGATAACAGCTCTGTTCATGCTTCTTCCAGTTTACATTGGTGCATTACTTGCAAGCTGGTCACCTCTTTCATTACCACTCACTCCTGTATACCCAGGTGTGTAGATGCAGATGATGGAGGTTAACTGCAACTTCTGAATGCTTTCTACCCATTCTAAACATAAACTACCTTTAGTGATTTTCTGAAGCATGTTCATAGAAATGATTACCGCAAATGTGGCCGCTTGTTCTGGTACCCATGCGAGTGCTCTGGAAGCAGCAGTTATCTCCATCGACATGCTTGACCTAGTTGTCTGGTTAGCCACTATCCTCTTTTACTGTTTTCCCCCATTTGTTGTGCTTGTCATGACCTGTGCTTCACGGACCAGTTTGTGTAAATGACCTCGTCTTCTGAATGTGAATGCTGATTAATCAGTGCTCTAATCTGAGTATCTATGGTAGCAGGTATCTGACTCCTCAGTACCTCCAAAAGGTTATAACAACCTTAGACAGGTCATGCATGTCAGTTGGTGTATCCGTCTATTCTTTTCTGTGTCTGATCTCATCTAGGTAACATACATGCTGGATTAGATTTTCCACCTTGGCTATCCAGGAGAGCTGCATCCCTTTTATATCAGGGTTTGCGGAAATCAGATGTGTGGGGCTGAAAGATGCAGATATTGCAGCCTAGCTGTAAACCACAAAACATGTCAACTGCTATTTTAAGGGTGAACATAGAAGAACAAGAGGAAGAAAAAGAGAAGAATAAAAAGAGAAGGAGGGAGAGTAAAAGAAAAATTTGCAAAAAAAGAAAACAAAAAGAAGAAGCAGAAGGATAAAAAAGAGAGAGAAGAAGAATCAACAGCAAACAGAAGAGAAAGAAGATCTGTTGGACCCCAGTAATGCATTAAACTGTGTTTTGATACCAAGTAAATTATGACAAAAAAGCTACAAAAATAAAGCTACGGCTAAATATTTATTTCCACACACACAAAATTAACAAAACAACAGCAAAAGCAAAAATAAAAGTTACAAAAGTAACCTTTTACAAGCAAGACCGTAAAAGAAAACATAGAACAGCAAGTCACAGCAATAATCATGAAATATAAACAATTATGATAATCCTGTACTCTGTGATGTGACCTGAACAAAGATTTCAACTTACTGAGAAAACAACCAAAAAAAAAACTTAAAAAATTTTGGTTCAATACATTAAATCATTAAATTCCTTCAGAAACAAAGACTTAAATGGTTCGGCCATCTAGTGAGAATGAATGCAAAGATGTCAGCAGTGACAGCATACAACATGAAAATAGAAAAACCAAGAGGCAGAGGAGAATCTAGGATATAGAACAGGGGAGTCACTGACAGCCTTAGATTTCACAATATCACAGAACAACAATAATATAATATGTTTTGGACCAAATCTGAAGAAGGGAAAAACTAAAGGAAAACTTGTGTGACAACTGGAAAGATTTATGGAAGGAGAGCTGGAGGAAGACAATGAGAAATAATTTGTGACAGCCATTTGTCAGGGCTTGGAAAGAACATACAATTAAATACTGCAATACATTACTAACTCAGTATGTCAAATAACTATTTTATCAGATCACGTCACAACACAACATACAGAGACTTCACTAGAGGTTATGTCATCAAGTGTGGTAGCAATGTGACATTTTTATTCAGGAGCGAAACAGATTTAAGGTTATGGGGTCCAACTATAACTGAGGCAGAATTGTTTGAATTTATACCTCACCACCCACCCACCCCACCCCCTACCACACACACAAAAATCAAATGCAAAGTACAAAAGTGCAAGTACAAAAAAAAGGAACCTTAATAAGCACTTATAGGAGGACAAGTGATGGTTTATACATCCCTAGCTCTTTGGTAAAAGATCAGATGTCTAGCTTTTTTTAGACAAGGGGGACAATCTTGGTGGGCAGTGCTCACATTACAAATTAATTTGTGGCTGAAACAAAACAAAAAAGCAGGCCGGGAAAGAAACAGCCAAAAAGGAAATAGGATGACCAGGCAGGGAGGAGAATAATAATAATTTCAGGATAAGTAATTAGTATTTAATAAGAGAGACAGAACATTTCCTGCCATGTCTAAAGTGTATTAGGTATTTTAAAAGATTAAGAATTCTAATTTAAATACCATCTCTTCTGAGTCCATCATTTAATCCCCTTCTCATCTTTATTAGCAATTGCCTTGTTGCCTGGCATGGGCAATCCAAACTCTCTACAATCTGCAACTGCATGTATCAATTCATGTCTTGACAACCCTCCATTCCACGACGAAAAGCTGTAAAAAATATTCTCACATTGCTTCCTGTCTTTCTTTCCAATGGTTACATGTTCTAGTTTCCCACTTCTCATAACACCACCAAAAAATGATGACTGTCTCCTTCTGATGTTTGTGATACGTTGTCTTTGAGCTCTCGCCTCTTTCAAAACATCTGCGTTGCTTTATTTTCTACTGTCCTAGGATTTCTAAGGATTCTTCTGTAAAACCATATATGAGGCCTCAAGAAATTGTTTGGCTTGTTTATTTACTGTCCAGGCTTCAAAGCCATGTGTTAAAACTGGCTCTGTATAGCATGCGAGAATTCTTTTCCTAACCTCCATTGACGTAGATTTATTGCAAAAAATGTTTATTTTATAAAATAGTTTTTGCCTGGCCTATCTTTTAGCCTCCCTATCTACTTCCCTAGTGAAGTTGCTGATAATAAACACATAAATATGCACATTTACTACATTAAAAAAACATATATATGCTGAAACACATCAGATATTTGAAAAACATACAACATCAACAAAAGACAAAGAAGCAGCAGATTTAGAATATTTTACCTTCACACGACCGCCCATCACGAGAAAGCGAGTAGCCAGTGTAACATCGGCAAACTGGTCGTCCATTATCAGCGACACATTTATGTTGACAGCCGCCATTGTTCTCCTGACATGGATTCACCTCTGGGAACATGACATATGTAACTTTGAATTATTCCCCTTCATAACATGACATTAGTCAAATTGATTTGCCTATGAAAACAGGACATTAGTGTAACTGAATTATTCAGCTCTGAAAACAGGACATCAGTAAAAGTGAATTACTCACTTCTGGAAACAAGTAAGTAAAGATCCCTTTTCATGCCTTAGGCACATCGGGCATATGGGAAGAGCGCCCTCATTTTTACAGACCAATCGACACTAGGTGGGTAATGTGGTCAGCATTACGCTGGTCATCTTTACTTCCCCAGGACATACATCCTGGTACCCATTTTAGGCTGGGTCGACCCGCAAAGCCCCATAACATGATAAAAATCCCCGCTGCCAGCAGTGGGTTTTGATCCCGGTACATTGGAATAACAAGTCGGACTCGCACACCCCAAGCCACGGACGCCGCATCTGCAAACAACACACTACTGAAGTTGAATTATTCAACTCTGGAAACAGGACATAAGTAAAACTGAACAATCAGGCTAAAGATGAAAGTTAGTTGCATGTTCTTTTCAAGATACTACAAACCCACACCAGGACTTCTGGTGCTGTGTTACTAAGCAATTCTTCTTTTTCTCCTGCATTTGCACCTAAAGGGGAAGGTGACATGTTGTAATGTGGTTTACAGCTAGGCTGTGATTTCTCAGCCTTTCAGCCCAACACATCCAATTTGAGCACATTTTTAATTAGTCACTTTTTACAACATGCTTGTTAACTCTTTTAGTCCCAAGGAATGCAGGATACATTCATAGGATCCTACCTAGGAGCCCAATGAAAGCTAGATGTGCTGATTTTATGTCTCCCTTTACTATCCCTAGAATGTCTTTGCACTGGAACCCACAGGGGTACAGAAATAAAGGAAGACCAAAATACACATGGAGAAGGGAGCTAGAGAATAAAGTTAAAAAGATGGAGGGTGGGGGGGGGGGCATGGGGAGATCTGCATGCAATAGTGAAGGAGGTTAGAAAGGCAGAAAAAGAAGAACTAGTCACATCATGAGAGCTAACAAACAGCAACTGCTGGGAAAGAGAGAAAGAATGGAAGATAACAGATACACACACACACAAACTACGTACACAGAAGAATTGAATGGGATTAGACCACTATGCAGAACAAGAAAATGGCAGGGAAATAATATAGTTAGACCTACAAACATTTGGAGTCACCAACTGCAGTCACAGAGGAAGTAAATGATATGTGCAGGGCTTGGATTCTGAAAAGAAAAAGAGGAGGAGGAGGAGGAAGATAAGAATGTGAAGGAAAAGGAAGAGGAGAAGAAGCAGACAAAGCAGGAGGAGAATAATAACCATAAGTTTTACATGCCCACACAAGAAAACTGACAAGTGGTAGCACAAGTCCCTGATTCATCTCGTTTACCTTCACAGAGCTGCCCATCATCTGCCAGCCGATATCCCTCCCGACACTTGCACTGGTAATGTCCACCATAGCGGGTGATACAAAGATGCTGGCAGCCCCCGTTGTTGACATTACAGCCAGAAGACGCTACAAGAGGATAAAAAAAGTAACCTCTGTAAACGGCTTTCCACTGAAGAAGCTCAAATATGTGACATCAAACTAGGGATTCCTTTTTTTAACACACAAAAAACAATTTTAGTATTCACCACAAAGTACCTAAATAAAAAGGTACAGGTAATGAACACAAGTGTCTATTACAAAAGCACTAAAAAAAATGTATGCCTGAAAATGGTGACGGTACTGCATACCAATGCATACTGCCAGAAGAAGAAAGAACAACAACAAACAATCTGACAGCTCTATACTCCAACATATAGTTTTCTGAGTTAAAAAAACCTCAGAGAAATAATTTTCTAAGTTTTCAGCTAAAATCTTCAAATGCTGACCTGTTATATTGAAAAATCACTTGTACATGTTCGATTCTCAAATTGGCATATGGTTTGAAGAACACAGATCTTAACTTTCTTTTTACTTTATCTAACAGTCAAGTTATATAAAACCAGTGTAAAACACGGACCCTTATTATACAAAATGAACACAAAAATCACAACAACAGAAATTTAATGTCTCAAAAGAGCTGCTGGAGTAATAAAAAGATAAGATTAAAATTAGGAAACTAGAAGACTAGGACTGGAACCAGTTAATTCATTAAAGAGCAACAGATGAGATGGTTTGGCCATCTAATGAGAATGTCCTGGTAACAACTGCCAGAGAGCGTGATGAAGAAACATAGTGAACACAGGGCAGGCAAAGAACATGTAAAACATAGAATGACATTGTCAAGAACATCCTTAAAAAAATTAAGATTAACTTATACAACACATCAGAAAGAGCGAACTGAAGATCCTTACATCTCTCCCCAACACTGTGTTGAAACTGGAGGAGAAGGAGAAGAAGAAGGGTAACATCAAGGAAAATGTCAAGACTGTTAAAAAAAAAAATGGTCTTACAGTCCTGCCAACTTCTGTTATGTGCTAATAAGGTGTATGTGAGATATTTAAATGGAAAAGGATGAGAAAATATCTGGTAACATCTTTAAACTGATTTTACAGTGAAATAACTGCAATATATGGAGGAGAAGAGGGTAAGTCGGCAACCTTGACAAGATTACAAGAACTACATATTAAAAAAAAAAGTTGTCAGACATGAACACTATACAAGTAGCCAAAGATAAATAGTAAACCAACAGACAACATGTGTCAACAGTCGCTACACACTGAGGTAGATACTGAAGATGGGATCAGACCAATTATGGACTTGTCCAATGTGTAATGAGGATGATCGGCCAATTAACTAATTCCAATATGTGGCATGAAAAAATATGTCAGTTATGTAACATTAACATAATGAGAAAACAATATCTTTAAACTAGTCCTCCTGTGAAGTTAGTGAGGGCAAATGCAACAGTTAGAATCCTTCCAAGATGAAAATATATATGAATTTTTCTCATCCTCTTTCTTCTTCTGTTGTTTCGCTTAAGTCCATGTGAAGCACCTACCCCACAAGTAACTCAAGCCATGCTCTATGTAGACTTGTTCATAATTTGTTGGAGTTTTCAGACAATTTTCTACAAAATCAGGCAGTCTTATGCCAAATCCCCTTAATTACCTCTTATCTTCTTCTTCTTCTTTGCCTTCACCTGCTGTAAACTCTGGGGTAAAGTTTTGGTTGTTCACCCACTTTTGGAATGCAGTCCGGTTCTAGAACCTGAATGTTGCGTGTGCATCCGTTTTGGAGATCTGACTCATTTGTATGCAGACTTCTGGTTCCTTGCACTCAGGCAGATGCACTCCAACTTTGAAGGAAGCTCCCAATTAGTCGACTCTTACAACATGCTTTTGGGTAGGCAGTGGGTCTATTCTTGTTTTCCCTATAATAGGTGCCCGGAACCCACACATGGAAATTGCCTCTTATGACATGCACGGTAGGCTACAGTGATAATATTCTTTGCTTCCCATTGAAATTCTGGTAACATCCAGACAAGGGAAAGTAAAGGACTCTATTCACACCTTGGGGTTATGAGGTATATGATGCTAGACCTACATTTGTATAGACTAATTGACCCTCCATGGGTGATGTGGACAACATCACACCAGCAACATTTACTTCACAAGATGTTATCTAGTACCCATTTTGGGCTGAGTCAACCTGGGAGCCAATGTCATTTTTTCCCAAATCCTTCCAGTATGGATCTGAACCCAAAACCTTCAGGCAAGCATACAACTGATATACTACCACACCCAGGTGAGCATGCAAAAGCATAGATTGAACACCTACCTACTCTGCTGTGGGTTCCAGTGTCCTATATTGGGGGAGGCGGGGTGTAGGGGGATAGACCCACTGCCACCCTAACAAGCATGTCATATAAGTTGACTAATAAGGTCAGTTTCTTTCAAAGTCAGAGTGCATCTGCCTGAGAAGTGAGGAACCAACAGTCTGCATACAAATAAACCACATCTACAACACAGATGTGCAGGCAAAATGCAATTTCTGGAAAAAAAAAGACTTAAGTCTAAAGTGGACAATCAGAGCTTTCCACTGGAGTAAACACCAAGAAGAAGAACAAATACAAATCCATAAGCATAAAAACAATACAAAACTGTTAAAATGGTAATCAAAATGCCAGCAATGAAAAGCAAATCAAAAACAAAAATTACAAGAAATATTACCAAATTTATGTTTATACAAACAAAATAAAAATGCAGTTTAAGAACTGGTAGAAAATACAATAACTGAAATATAACAAAAATCACAGGAGCTGCACAAAATCTCATCTAATAACACAAGGAGCAATATCATATTAAAATGAGCAAAATGACAATGTAAGGACATAAACTGCACAACACCCATCATGCAACAAAGAAATATACAACTATAAATGGCAAACAATAATCAATTGCAATGGGGGGGGGGGATGATCCCTGTTGGCATTGCCATCGATTAAATTAACGGCACAATAGCCATTAACGTGGCAAAGACAATGTATAGAGGATAGACTCAGCTAAAAATTTAAATGATTACAACTAAAATATTTACAACAACAAAAACTCAACAGAATGTTACATGGTAAAGGAATATGGTATTCTGTTTTTTATTCAGTATTCAATTTACCAAATTCATTTTCAGTTACTTGTTTGGTTACACATAGGAGATACATGGGTAATAGATAGCAAATGACAGCCTACAATAGTACTAATTCCAGCCTTCGCCAATTGCTTTTTAGCACAGCAAAATAATGGGTGGAAGTATGGTTTGGATTATTATGGTAGTATGATCTGAACATGTTCAATAAGAATTGAAAACTATCCTTTGATACTGACTTACTACTGACAATACTAGTAAAGCTACTAAAGCTTTAAATTTGTATATTATCAATCACTTTATCTCTCTCTCTCTCACACACATAAATACACAAATAGGCACACCCAGATACACACTGTGAATAATACAAAATTGTGTCTTTGCATTTTCTGCTTCTTGTAGTGCCATAGTTTTATTACCTATAATATATTAGATACCTATCTTTAATGGATGTTGCAGAACCAACCCCAGCATTTGTTGACTGTATGCAGTTTTACAACACCACCATGCAGCAAATTCATTGAGAAACAGAAAATAAAATGGTTTGGTTATTTAGTAAAAATGCAGCCAGAACAACTACCAATGCATGCATTACACATCAAGAGATCTGAAGTAAAAGCAAGAGGTTGCCCTAGGAGAATATGGATTGATGACATTAAAGAGCTTCTATATCAACACAAATTGAGAATAGCCATTGCTGCCCATCAAGCAATGGATCGCAAACTGTTCCTCCCCACAATGCTTAATGGCAGTAGTGGAAATTGATGATGATGATGCAGTTTTACCAGAAAATTTTACTTTGAGTAGTTTGCTACTGTTTATTGATCTATAATATATTAAGCAAAAAAATTCAAATTTATTCTGCAAAATATGAACTGTTATTTAGGTGCAACAGACCCCTCATCACAAACATCTATAATATTTACATAATGAATGTTTACAGGTAAAATTCTCTGTAAGGAACTGCATGGGCTGGTGATTCTAGGGACAGGTAGTATCGCTTCCGTAACGGTTTTCTTGTAAGCCCACTACCTTTATCTCCAGATGGTGCTGTTAAATACATCATCTTTAAGGAATTTCTAACATCTTTATTTGTAAAAATTTCTACAGCTTTGAATTTGGAAGCTATTAAAGTGAATGTCAAACAACATGCCAGCAGATACAGTCCTTCAATCAACTCTACATCTGCTAAAATTAGTAACAATACGAGCAGTAGCTTGGATGTAAACATAATGAAATGTCAGTGTTAATCTGTTTCAGATGCTGATGCAGGCTTTGGTCGTCTTGCTATAATTGTGTCACTGCAACTACTGAAGTTATAGACACGCTTTTAGTAAGTAACTGTTGTTGTCAACCGCTACCGACTGAGAGATATACTGCGAAGGGGATCCAAGCACTTATGGGCTGAATGTGACCCAAAGTGTAGTGAGTATATGCTGCCTAACTTCACTCAATGGTATGCTACAATGCGGGTTCCAAATATTCAAACGTGTTTTCCAGTAAGATAGTAGATAGAAGACAAAATTCAATTTTTACAATGCAATATCGTGTCTTATCTCTAATATATTAACAAAATGGGAGCTGGATAAGTTTCGTCTTTCAATTCCCATGTAAAGTTTGTTTATTATTGTTCACGCAGCACAGTAAACGCCACACGAACGGTGAGGTAAAAAAGGGGGAGGCGGCGGAGGTGGAGTTATGCTACCTGAGAAGTGGAGTACTCAACTTATGAACACAGTTGATGTGCAAAACGTGTCTGTCGACTGCAACAGCAACACGTTTCAGAAATGTAATCAAGAAACTGTAAAGAATGTCACTGAACACCTGAACATTAATAACAGTATTTCATTCAGTTAAGATGCTATAGTTTAGTTCTTGGTGCCTGAAGTCAAGTTTAGGAATCTTTTAAAAAACTGGTCCCTCTCTCGTCTCTGATGACGACAGTCGACTGTTTGATATCATCCAGCCGTTG